ATTCTGGTCTGACAAGGCCTTCTGCCTCAATAGCTCCTTTATTTCTTTGTCGTTCATTTTGTTTCTGTGCCCCTAAGTGTCATCAATACCACCAACACGTAATCAGTATCCCTTGTTATTTTACTTCCAGTTGATGCTTATACACTAAATTTTTGATCTGCATACATCAGACTGCAAATTAAACCGTCAATACGAGCCATGGAAGTGGAAGTCTGTACATCTGATAGACCAAGGATGTTATATAAAATATACTAAAAAGTGCAATAGCTGATTTAAGTTTGTTGGTTTTTTTTTTTTTTTCCAGCTACAGGGATTTTCATAACTGTGCTGATTTGATTTAATGGCGCAAAATGAAACTAAGCACAGGCAGGCTCTGTGCAACTACTCCTGTGTGTTCACAGGAAGCTTCTCATTCACTGTGTTTAATCTACATGAGGATCCTAACAGGAAGGGTTTTTTTTCCAAAATTGCCTGCAGTGGAGCCCAGTACTGAAATCTACTCTCCTCCCATCTCTACCCTCGAGCTGTAGGGAGACTGAAAGCATGGAAATATTTGCTAATATTCTTCTTACCCAAAAGAAATGGGTATGGAGTATTGCCTAGTCAGAGTGGATCTTTGCTGTACTGTTAAGTAACTGCTGTGGTTTGTTTGAAAATTGAGTTTTTTGGGTTTTTTTCTCCCTTTCTTTCTTTTATTTGCCATCCATAGCAAGTAAATGTTTACCATTTCTACAGGTCCACAGGTCCCTCTTGACTCACATTAAGTGAGATGTGAGATCGATAGTGGCTCTGCAATTATTTGCCTATTGATAAAACCTTCATTTCTTAAATGAAGTACATTTATCTGTGCCCTGACAGTGATAAGAGGGCAGTACCAGTAAGTTGCTGCCTACTCTAGCATTTAGCTCCAGGCAGACAAGTGCTTGGACATGGGTCAAATGATGTCTAACTTTCTTCCTATTGGCATTTCACTTTATAAACTGCTTTGATGGAAGGCTTGACAAATCATCCTTGCTGAGTTCAAATAATAAAAGCAAGCAGGACAAATGGGAAGTTTTGGGAAAAAGTGAACAGTGGCTGATTTCAGTTTAACTGAACAGTTTGTAACGTTACTGAATTGTGAAACGAAAAGAGATTTGTTACATCAGAAGATAATAAAAAGTAACCTGTATTATAGACAGTTGTTTGGTTCACAATTTTTTTTTTTTTAAATCACTTAAATCAAATTGAGTGGTTGAAAAGTTGATCTGAACTTTATTTTGTGATAGGAGGAAAATTAAAGAAACATTGAGGCGCATTTTCACTCTGGTAAAATCAGTGAGAAATTCTATTTGACTTTAGTGAAGCCAAGATTTCACTACAGTGAGTCATGGCGATCTATTTCTTCCCCAGTATTAGAGAATTCAACGTTGAAATAAATAATTAGAATGAAGAGAATAAAATAGAAGAAATTTCTAACTCTGTCACAATAGAAAAGGAGTTTCCAAACTGCTGTCAGATTCATTAGTGGTAATTCAGAGATAAACAGACTCAATTGCTTTTCCTGTCTGCAACATATGTTGATTTAAGCTAGCAATTTTTGATGATGTGTACTGTGGACTATATTGGCTATATACTATTGGCTGTATACTATAGAAAAATTAGTCGTATTACTGTGGGTAAAGAAATTGCATTATTGACAACTTGGCTAGCTTTTAGAAAGACAGTTATGTTAATTTCTATTTATTGGGAAGTTTGGTAAAGACTTGCACACCTATCTGATAATCAGCTTTCTCACATATGCCCTTTCTGTTTTTTGGACATGAATTAAGAAATGTGAAGCCTGCAGAGCAAATGGGAAAAGTAGTCTTAACACCCAAGTCTCTCAAAGATTCCTTTCTTCTTTTCCAGTTTATTACTATGTGCCTGCTCAATATGTTTCCATCAATTGTACAATGACTATTGTTGAATTGCTTGGTTCACCATTCCTTGAAAGAAGCCTCTCAAATGCAAGTAAAAAAAAAAAAAAAGAAAGAAAAAAAAATCCAATTTTTATTTATGTCTCTCTTGAGCTACTGAATATTTTTATTGAATACCTTAAGATTGTGGAAAAAAATTGAGTGTAACACTTAAATTTTGATTTGGAGTCTACCAGCTCGCCTCCCTTCCTCTGTTGGAATTAACAGGAGAATATATCTCTTATTCCTCTTCAGGGCCTGGCAGTGAGTGGACTGATAGCAAGAGAAGCCACTGAGGATGGACACACATTCACTGAAGTATGAAGATATGTTGGTGTGGAAGGAGAATTTTTTCAGTATGGAGAGGTAAAGTGTTTTTTTTATAACCAGTAGGGGAAATTTAAAAGTTAGCTAATTCTAAATGTATTCATTCTAGGTAGGCTAAACTAAAGAGAGGTCACACCATCTAAAAACACAAGGTACCAAAATGTTTTGGTTTCTTCAGCTGTATCATTATGTACTTGGCAAGGTTGCTTAGATGGGACAGGTGGCTGGAGAAAGGAATAGATCTCCGGTGCCTGGATGTGCCACTCATATGGCTGCAGAAACAGTTGTGCACTGCTGGCTACAAAGGTTGCGATAAATATACACCTGTCTAAGCTTCCACAGCATCTTTACACTACCAGCAATCAAAAACATTTTCTTATATAAATCCTTCGGAACCTCTGGCAAATATATAATGAACAATTTACCTCTCTCATTTAAACGCTAGCAAGCAAGACTGATACGATTAAATTGTAATTTTAAAAATTTTTGTATACGCTATGAGTTTTGAATGTTATTTTACTGTTAGTTCACTCAGCCTTCTGAAATGTCTACTGTCACTTCTGAAATGTTAGGGGAAAAAAAGAGGCGGTGTTATTTGCCCTCAAGGAGATGGCCATCCTACGAAGATACAGACAATAAGGTATAGTCAAGAATAACAGACAGCTTTTCAAGGTAGCTTTGTAACTGTGATTATAAAAAGCCAAATGGTTTCTTCTCAGTAAATGAATGTTGTGGATTATTGAGTCTGTGCTAACACGGAAGCAAGAGTATAATAGTATATATTTACACCATGGAGGGGATATCCTCAGAAATGAGAAAGGTTGGTATTTCTTGATATGCTTCTTATTCCATTAAACGTTACAGAGTCAGATTTTCAATGAAAGTCAGCTCAGACTCTTGAAATATTGTTTTGATTAATAATGTGTTTTCAGCATTAAGTTCACTTTTCTGTTAAGATACCTTAAGAAACAAAGATATGCATCCAATGCATCTCAGTACTTAGATACAGTAATTACTCCCAATTTTTTCCACTGAATTTGCTGCTTAGCTAGTTTTTACAACTCTGCTGAATGCTTACCAGCATTGCAGGGTACTTTAGTGTCTTAAAAAACCTAACTCACTCAACTTCATCCAGACAACTCATTCATACTTTTGGGCATAAACTAACATAGTTAGCTGGAAAAGTTATGTGTGTTTTTTATTTCAGTTTTATCATCGTTCTCTACAAATATATGCCTTAGCTCTTTGGGTCAAGTGGCAACACCGTAGTATTTTACTATTTACAGAATAACATCTAATTTTGACTTTCATGTAATTGAGTTACGCAATGCACTAACTAGTGAATTAATAGTTGGGAAAGTGCTGACTCTTTTTTTGCTACATTGTTTCTATAAAGAAGCAATATGACTGCAAGGCTTCCATTAGCAGGAGAAGTAGCTCTTTTTATTGTAGCGTAAATCAGAGAAAAATGCTATTTGTGTTTTGAGAGAGCTTCATCTAAACTTTCCATAACAGATTCAAACACTATAAATACCACACAGAAGGACATATTTCAGAGAGTAATTGAGTTTTCACAGCGTATGCAAAATTGTCTTACTTCTCATGGTTTATCTGCAATTGTATTTTTGTATTTTAATAATTTGTCTGTAGAATTTTATTCCTTCACAGAGAAGCTTTAAAAAAAAAAGGGTAATTAAAGAAAAAGATCGTTAAATGTCAGCACTGCTGGTATTTCTTTCATTGTTGTGCTTGGCTCAACTGTTCACTCTCTTTGTAGACAAACAACTTCTGAGTAAAACCATAATTTTGGCTATGGAGAAATTGCTGGATCTGACCTTATTTATGTTTTTAAGTCTCTCTTTTCAACTGCTTGTAAATAAAAAGTAACTGTAAATAAGAAATTCACATAGCCAAAGTTTATTTAGACCAGTTCTATTAAGTCAACAGTGTGCAAACCTGAAATAGAAGACAAGAGAAAAATCTGTTCCTATGAAGTCAATAGGAATCCATCCCCCTAAGCCCTTTTTTTATTCCTGGCGTTGGTGATTTTTCTTGACTGATTCATTGAAGGACACTGGTTTAACTAATTTGTCTTGCATAGGTATCTTTCCTCTGCATCCTCTCTGCTAGTGCAAAACAATCTTCCCTTTAAAGGTTATTTCCTACCTAGATTTGTCATAAAGCTATTATCATTAATCTGTGCTTCAAGAGTTCCTTTCACTTTTTAAAGACCATGAGTTATCTTCCTGATTTATGTGTTACAGTGTGACAACCATATGCAAACAAGACTGTTTATACTTACCTGAAGTTCCTTTAAAAAGAATATTTTAATCATCTCTCCAAATCATCTGCTTTATATAAACAAATATCATAAAAATATACCAATCTATATTTTCCTCTGTCCTCTGGAATTTATAATAAAATGTTATCTTTGTTCAGGGATATTCAGAGAGTATGTAGAGTAAGCTTGTAATACTCTACTAAATTCTGTAGGTTTTAGAAACCACTACAATCAAAACCCACTTTTAATCTTTCCATTTAATTGTCCTGCAAGTTATAATTAAAAGATGATCATCTGTTTACTGTGGACCTCATAAAATATATTTTGAAATCATATTTGTTTTTCAGGAAACAATAATAAAAGCAAAATATATTCAGCACTTTTAGGGAAAAAAGAAACAATGCAGCAGTAATAAGTAAGGAATAATGTAAGCATGAAAAGTAGAACTTACTTACCTAAACTAAACAGCACCAGGAATTTGAGACATACAAATTCTCGTAGATCAAACTGCAGGGAACGAAGCTTTGCTACTAGTTCTTGTGCGTGGCTCATAAGGTTGTTGAGGGTGGCTCCAGCTTGTGATGCTATTACAGAATAATCTACCTGCGAAAGAGAAGTACATATTTCTGTGAAATATATCTGTCTGTGCCCACAGAACCACTTTAGAATATTTCAAGTAGTCACATAGTCACAAGTAGCTAGGATACTCCTGGATGAAAGAATCACTCTCAATTTAATGATGTCATCAAGTCAGGATGATTTCATATACAAACCCATTTTAGCACAACAGTATATATTGGAATTATTATCAAACCATACATCTTAATGGTATGTCACATCTCTGTGAATGCTGGTTTGTCTGTATTAGCTTGTGTTCGAGGCTTTATATATGACTATTGCTTATGACACTGGGAGCTATGTCCCTTATTAGTCTGTCTTATACACTTGGGGTCTCTTGTTCTCATTGTAACTGTATGATCTTGCGGGGAGAGACTGATGAAGTTGGGCTTTGCCCTCACACCAGGCATATTAGTCCTGAGGGATATAAAGTTATTCGTGGGAAATAATCTGGTGCCCGTAACTTGGCCAGAAACCTCTATTCAAGCCCTGAAATGTCGGTGTATTCCCACAGGAAGTGGAGGTATTGTGAGGGTAGTTTCTGTTCTCTTTAGCTACACAAAATCCTGGCACTTTCTGGAGGTGGCTCCAAGGGACTTTTTCTAGCAGTTCCTTCTCTGGTATGAGAGGAGGAGTGGGCAGGTGTGTGGCACAGGCCAGCTGCACAGACACAGTCCCAGGCAGTCACCGTGGTGCACGAAACCCCTTCATCTGTAGCACAGTAAGGAGTGTGACTGCAGGGGAGGTCTGCTGCCCTTGACATGCTGCCCTTTCCTTCTCAGAGAGACTGGCCTCTCCACAAGCTGTTCTAAACGTCTCTTGTATGGAGAGGACCAACAGAAAGCTGCAATGAATGCACTCTATTTTAAAACGGCAATGTTTATTAGCCAAGGGTGCTTAAAACCCTTCCTAGCTGATATACTCAACTGCAATTCTTGAAATCAGTCAACCTCACCACTGTGCATACCAAAACATTCTTATGGAAATGCTAGTGTCATTAAGGGGATGCATCCATTCAAATGGCTGCACCAGCCACTGCCACTCTGAGAATGGTCACTGCTAACTTCTGTGGAATTTGTTATGGGATGATGAAAGCTGAGACGTACTTAGGCTCTATGGCCTCAGGGAATGCCATGGTCTAGAGACAAAGTGCAGCAGCTATGATGTGCTAGGTGTTTTCAAAATGCCTTTCTTGCCTGGCTATTCTAATATTTGCAGAGCTTTAGTCTCTTAGGGGCCTCCACAGCAACAGGGGAATTGACAGCCATACTTCATATAACCACATGTTGGTGAAGCCCGGCTTTAAACTAAGGCAAAGTCTAATGGTAAGTGCACGCTGTAGGTTAACAGTGTGTTTAAAGATGTCAGTGCACTAACCCAGCCTTTAAGGTCTCTCAAAATAAAGTATTTAATGAAGAAGGATCAGATACCACCAAAAGAAATAGAACAGTACTGAAAATTTTGTTTTTCCAGGCACTGATCCCTTAGAATTTATACTTTCTAAATAAGTGCTATGGATACTGTCTTTTGAAACATATTCTTTCTTTATTTTAAAAGTATTAAATTATTTCGCTCAATCATAAACAGCTATAAAGCAAGAAGAAAACTCTAGGACTTAAACCTGTCAAAATTTCAGCCAGGAAAGATAAGATAAATGATTGAAAAGGTCTAAAACTAACCTCTCCTAGAGATGACCTTTATGTAATCAATAGGTTACAGACATTAATAAGACATTTTATTTATATATACTTAGTGCTCCCAAGACATTGATTGGAAGCAACTGTACAAGAAAAATGAAGTTACTCTTTTGGCATGGATGTTAAAAATAGCACTGCAGAGCATTTAGTGTTGTGCTTATGTTTCAGTGAAGCCAATGGATAATGCTTAAATATCCTATGAGATAGTTTTTATTGCTGTCTTTTATACTTGGGAACACTAAATTGTTATTACATATGACATTAAATTGTTTATTCTCGTCCAAAGAAATCTGTGACAAAACTAGGATCCAGTCTTTGTGACTCCTAGACAAACTGTCTTTCAAAAACTGCTTTCTACTTCGTCCGTTCTCTCTCTCTCTCTCTCTCTCTCTCTCTCTCCCCCCCCTCCCTCCCTACCCCCTCCACATACATAAATTTATTTACATATTTCTTTATAGATAAGGATATATGTTTACTTAAATAGTAACAAATAAGTAGTAAAGTGCCCAAATGCTTTTTATTCATAGAGCAGTTTAATATGGTGATATGATTCAACTACTTCCTATTGAGAAACTGGTCACATACAAATATCAACTCATTCTCAACTTAATTTCCCTTTTGTAATGTTAATTCTTTGTTATGTGGAGGAAGAAAGCTCGAAATCCCTCACTGAGGTTCCAGTTTGAGGGGGAAATATACCTTTCAATTCATAACAAGATGTTAAGATGTCTGGATGTCAAGAATATCAGTGGCTTTAGTGCAGCAATTATGCCGTAATGGAAAAGCCCAGTAGATGTCTGGATCTCCCACCATCCCTCTACTGGAGAGCTCTCACACAACCTGCTACTCTTTCAGGTGCATTTAATATTTGCAACACCAGCAAATTTGTCTGGGAGGCAAGTCCTCATCTGCCACTCACCATGAGCAGGCTGTATTAAATTTTTATATTTATTGACATTTCATTACCATAATTGACTGCAGTTGGTTCTCTAGTAGAAGGCACAGGGCTGCCTCCTAAGCAGGAGAATTGGTCCCTTGAGTAGGATTTGCAATTAAAAACAATGCAGAATGGATTTTTTTTTATTGTGTAAATATGATGAGTTGAATTTTCGGCTTTAACTAGAGAATACTGGGTGTGCAGGAGGCTTTTTTCAAGAGTGAGCAAAATTGTAAGTCAGTGGAAAGACGACCCCCAAAGGTGTCAATCAGTTTATAGAAAATCAACTGTGCATGAAAAAGCCTCAGTTAATGTCTTTTTGGAAAAAAATTGGTTGCATTAAAGAGTATACTATCTTGCTTGTTTGGTTCTGTATGCAGAAAGCAATGTTAAAAGGTGTATTAAATCTTTCACCTTTCAGTTCATGATTAAAAATGCTTTTAAAAGACAAAAAGAGCCTAGTTCTTGAGCAAAATGCTTACTTGCATACTGACATCTTAATATTTACTTAACCCTGTACGACAAATTCCACTTGGTAAATCAAATCAACAAATGGCTTCCCAATTACTATTACTGCACAGTTCAGTTGATATTGATGGTGACAAGTTAGCTGGCATTTTTGAAAACAGAAGCTTCAGTGATGCTTTCATATCACCTAGTTTAGAAATAAAGCAAATGGCATAAAGTTATGGCTGCACAGATGACTGGAGGTGTAAATTCCTCATGTACCAGTACTCCATGCTATCTTGCATGGTGAATATAGTAATGATAAAGAAGTAATGATCGAGATTTAACTGGGTTAGCTCAGTACCAAAGCAGTGCCAACAGAAGAGCACTGTATAATTTATGCTGCCACTTGTTCTTGCCATTCTGGTACTTACACTTAGTTGTTTGGGGTTAGTGTGGATATCACTGTATGTGCTATACTGCAGGCTGTGCTGTAGTACCGTTTGCTAACTGATGTGCTTAAATCTAAAATTAGGTACTAGAAACCTCCACTCTGCTGCTATCTAACTTTGCTTAAAGTCCTTGCTGGTCTGTCTTCCACTTAGAGAGTCAAACTGGCTCTAGGCATGGCCAGGACTACTCCAGTCATGACAGTGGAAAGTAACTGTGTGTCCAGCTCATGCAACAGCTCTTATAATATCTGTGGACTAGATTACCTAAGGCATCAAAAGTGCCAGACTGGGAATTTTTCAGCAGTCAACTGAGATGTGAGAAGTCCAGGGTCAGATCTCTAGTCCAAAGAGTGCATGGAATATATTAGTGTATCCTGGCAGTTGGGGCATCTGTTGAAAGTCAGAAAGATCAAGTAGCCTCAGGTAAGCCTCATACATCTTGTAGACACGTTCTGATCAAGAATATTGGGCAGAAAGAGAGATCTGGGGGAGAACTTCCAGTTTTGTATTCCAAATAGAAAATTGGGCTCAATTCATTTCAACAGGCATGTAATACCCTTCTTTTCACCATTTCTAATAGCTACTTCTCACAGCTACCTCTGAGTTTGCTGGCCTTCCCAGCTGCATTGCAGAGGTAAGGGCTGGGTGGATGAGGCAGCAGGCTTTGCAAGAGAGAATACAGAAATACTAACAGCTCTGAAAAAAAAAAAAAAAAGCTGATAGTAAAGAGGATCATAGCTAAATGGGACTGCAGAGAGATATGGCCATGCTAAGTATTTTTTCTAAGTCCCTTTTTTTGATCCAGTTCAAAGTGACTTAAAAGTCCAAATGCCTTAAATGACAGTGGAAGCAAGTTAGGCCAGTGCTGAGTGTTCATGACAATTCTTCTTAAAAGTAATATATCTTGGTAAAGTACCTACAGTTCAGGAGCTTTTAGAAAGTCAGGTGTCACACAAATTTCTCAACTGATAAGCAGAGCAGTTAAGAGATGGAAATGACTAATACAGCAGATTTTTTTTCTCACATGAAGTAAGTTAGCTCACTGTGGTTTTGGCAGCAAGCACCTGGGTGCAGCAAAATGACCATCCTCTTCCTCACTGCTCTGCTCTGTGCTACTCTGGTAGCAGAGCCTGCTGCTGGCTGTGTGGACTCTGACACTGCTCCCATCCATGGGTAGCAACCTGCACTGAAAGCCCTGAAGCCTTTGAGGTGGCTCTAGTGTCTGGCTATGTGAGTGGGTGAGCATTTCTCCCAGAAAAAGGCATTAGGCATAGTATATTCCAAGCAAGCTAATTTACTATCACAATCTTAATTACTTTCCCTATTTCCTGAGGTAGGAGAGAATATATATTTTGCTGGCAATTGTGGTGATTATTAAATTCATTAAATATTTTCATATTATTAATACTTTCATTAATTATATTTTAAAAATGTTCATGTTATGTTTTAAAG